GTGTACAAGGGATCTAACTCAACATGACCTCTGTACCTTCAGCCTGCTAAGGTACAAACGTAGCCACATGGCACCAAATTTGTATCATTTACCAGTCTTGGCAGTGGACGGAAAGTAGAATTTTGCATTTTTATTTATTTATTTCAACTTTACCACATTCCCGTCAAAGACAGGACAGGGGGAACAGGCAGATGCCTTTTCAAGGCCCCCTGTCCCGATAAAAACATATATCTAAAATACAATTAATAACAAATACAAATAATCACTAACAAAATTCTTAAAGGTAAGTTGTAAAACAAAAACAAATGTAATAACTATGATAACACAGGTATAAATAGTACTAGAAACAGTAATATATATATATAATATTAATAATAATTATGTACTATTCTTTGAAAGTAAGAGTTGGTAGACAATGGAAGGGTTTTACAGATTAAAAACACATTCCTATAGAATGAATAATTTTCTATTCAGGTTCATGTGTTCCAGTCCTCTGTCTCAATGTTATTAATAACTTTTTACAAAATATTAATAACTTTTTGAAGACGTCAAGAGCCAAGTAAATCTAATTTAAACATCATTCATCACTATTAACTAAACATAATTTTTACACCCCCACTAAAAGTGGTAAATGTATCAAAAAGCAATCATGTGTTAATAAAGGAATTTGTGTAGAATAACTGTGTCAGTTGGATAGGCTATATGATAATGACGTTAATGACCCATCTTACCCTCTGTGTTTATAATGAGATAATCCCTGGTCAGGTGTGATGACCACCTCATAAACCACCTCATTCACTACGCTTACTCGGTGGTTTATTCGGTGGTTATCACGCCTGACTGGGGGATTATCTCACCATTTTATACACCTTGGGGCAGAGCGTTTACCCTTTATTATGTTTACCGAAGGAAAACATAAATCATAGTTTTTGCTCTGTTTCTCCTTCCTCTTCTGCTCCAAACAAGTAAGGTCAATGACCTGAACCAGACATCTGTCAGCATGGTAACTGGTGTTGGCTTACATCATCTTGCAATTTTACAGCAGGAGAGATTTAGACTCCTGTCACCAAATATAAATTTTTTTAATGTGTTCGAGTAAGAATTGACAGAGCAGACCATATGCGAAGGTAAACATCATGGCATTTGCCTTGCAAATGTTACCTTTCTAATTAATTTTGTCTCCCCTCGCCTTGTAGTGACGTACCTGTCCCCAGCCACACGGTACACCGTCCAGGTGTCTGCCTTTAACGACGAGGGAGACGGTCCAAAGAGTGACGAGAGGACCACAATGACCCTCGGGCCAGCTCTGCCACCTGTGGGCCACCTCACTGCCCAGGGGCTGAACACCACCTCTGTCCAGCTCAGCTGGCACCTAGACGGACCCTACGTGCGTTTGTTTGTTTGTACAATTTGTAATTTCACATAACTAATAAACTGCCTGTAAGTAATACACACCAGTTTTGTACTGTAGGTATACAATCTGCATATTACTGGACTGTAGGTTTGAACCAATCACACTGGAATGGACCCTTACTTTTTTATGCAAGGTGGGATCTTTAAAGTGTTCAAGGTGGCACTAAAACCAAATCTTAACTGAAAGCATGTCATATACTTACTTCATTTTCACCTGAGTTGAGGAAGGATATTGGTGTAAAGTGACTTTCCATAGGGATCAACATCAGAGCCAGCTAATATACATTTTTGTACTAAGGCCACACCAATTTAATTTCTTGGTTAACGGATTTTTCTACAAAAATAATGAAGCGGGCGGGCGAAAAAAATTAAAAAAATAAAAACAGGCCTAGGCATCCTATTATGGCCCAAAATGGTATGATAGGAGCCATGAAATCAACACACCAGGCTGGTTCAAAATTTTGACAATGAATTTTGAACTTTTAATGATATCATTGCATTGAAAGATGGAATGACTTTAACAAGAAGTATAAAAAGGACTGTTTTCAACTGTTCAGGGCAAAATATGAGCATTTTGCAGTTGATTCTGAATTTTTATTTTTATTTGCAAATCAGAAAAAAATGAAGCGGGCGAATCCGTTAACCAAGAAATTAAATTGGTGTGGCCTTAGTCTAGGTATTCGAACCCAGCAGCTTCAGATTCTGAGTCAACAACCCTATCCACCAAGACCACTCTGTCATCTACTCTGTTTACCTAGTAGATGACGCCATCCATTTCGTTTCAACACAAAATTTCTTCCTCCCCCACTCCAGACCTATGGAATTTATTACGGCATGACAGAAACGATGCTGGAGAGAGATGGGATGCAGGCCAACACTACCCAACAGTCCTACAGTGTGACAGGGCTGAAGTCGGACGTCAACTATCTCTTTATGGTGAAAATCGTCCGGCCTCTGCCAGGGCCTCCGTCATACACATCAGCAACAACGTGGTTTGGTGAGTGGGGTTGCTGTAAATTCATTTTAAGTTGTTTTTTTTTTACATTGTTCACACCTTTTCCAGCAGTTGATTTGCCATGTCTAGTTTGTCACAATTTATGAAAAAGAATTTGATATTTTTTACTTCATTGAGGTACATGTATGTACTATGAGATCTTTTGTGTCTTGTGTCCTGATTGTGTCCATGTTGTTTCACAGATGACACGCTGCCACCCCACCGTCTGAAAGCTGTCAATCACACACAGACCACAGTGCTCCTCCAATGGGATCCTCCCAGGGACATGCTAGAACAGGGCTTGGTAAATGTTTCACAGAGCTTCACTCATATCCATGGCACAGTATGATGTTTGTTATATGTATACCGAAGGAAAACATATTGTTTTTGCCACGTTTCCTCTTCTTCTTATTCCAAACACTAACCTCTGACCTGGTCAATGACCTGATTCGTTGACGTCTCTCACCACAGTAACTGGTGTTGGGTGTATAATGTTGCAATTTTATAGTAGAAGGGATTTGTACTCCTCTCTGACCATATATATGAATGTATTTGAGTAAGAATTAATAGAGCAGACCATATGTGAACTTCAAGGTAAACATTATGCATTCGCTTTGCAACAGTTACTAGCTTTGCTTGAAAGTTCTGTAAGCTTCGGGGTGACAGAAAAAGTTGGAATATACTGAAATCAGAGAGGCCTTGAGTATTACTGGATAATTCCAGTAGACAAGATTTGATATTTACTTGTCTAACTTGACTTGATGATATTTTTGAAAACTGTAAATCACTTTATATTTGCAGTACTTTTATATCCGCATTTATTTATTATTACCGGGAACAGATAATTCACAGACTTTTTTCTTCTGCACCTACCGCCACCGCGAAGATATAGTTTAGCAAACATGACATTGTCCAATTTTCTTACTCTCCAAGCAGAGGTGTGGGTTTTGGGGGTATTTTTAGCATGTTTTTAGGCTTTTTTATCAGGGTTTCTCTTTTGCACTGAATTTTTTTCCCCTACCAAACCCAACCTCTGCCGGCAGTCAAAAGACTTCAATGGGCTATAAACCTAATCACTTCAACACATTCCGTCATTCTGCAAGGAGGTGTGAACCAGACGCATGAATAGGCACAGTCAGCAGGAGGCGTGTGGCCCAATGAATGTCTTTCTGACTGGCTAGATGTGTGATAATCCACCACAGTAAAATGGATATCCCTAATGATAATTTGATAGTTCCCAGGGAGGAGCACTGTCACGTTTCCTGAATAGGTTTGCCCCGCCCCGGGGTGAGTGCCGGCAGAGGTTGGGTTGGGTGAAAAAAAAATTCAGTGCAAAAGAGGAACCCCGATAAAAAAGCCTAAAAACATGCTAAAAATACCCCCAAAACCCACACCTCTGCTTGGAGAGTACAATTTTCTCAGACCACAGAATTTTGCTACTGCAAATATAAAGTGATTTGCAGTATTCACTATTTACTATTTTTCATATTTACTTGATACTTACTTGATAACTATAGATGATTGGTTTATTGAGAATGAAATCAGTCACGCATTGCAAAACTGAATTTACTCCGATTTATGGTATAATAATAGTATTTAAGACATATTGTTTTCCTCATGTTTCTTCTTCTTCTCCTCCTTCTCCTGCCATTTCTTTAAATTGATTCAACTCCTTCATTTTTGGGCCAAATATTACATGAAATTTGGCATGAAGGTACAGTGGCAAATACCCCAGGCTATTTTTTTTTCATTTTCAAATCCTAACCAACAATGTAGGGGATAGCTATCCAACTGTTGCATTCTTAGTTATATGTCACTTCATACTATAGTTCTATGAATATATAGCATTGTTTTCCCTTGTATTTCTCCTTCTTTCCCTTGCCATGTCGTGAAATGTGGGGAAGCCATGTTGAATTTGTTCCATGTTGAATGTTGGTTTTACCCTGCTTACAGCAATATGAGATTGATGCAACTGATGATGAAAATGCCACCTGGACGTACGCCGCACGAACCAAAACACTGAACGGTGATCACATGACGCACAAGGTCACGGACCTGTACCCCGGCCACCACTATGTCTTCAGTGTCAAGGTGTCCACCCAGAATGCAAAGCCGTCCAAGCCTTATCATGTGACCACAGGTCAGCGTTGTTGACATATTCTGCCATGGCAGTCTTGAATATTACTTTGTTTCTTAAGTCTCTATACTGCATGCACAGGGCTCGAAATTCATTTTTGGGAATAGGTGCACTGGTGCACCCAACCTACAAAATTGGGTGCACAAAAAAGTCTTCGGGTGCACCTTGTCAAATAAAATGGTACAATGAGAAGAACGTCAGAAAAAACTATTTAGCTTTGTATATAAAAAGATGACAGGCCACACAGAGGCATGCAGTGCTTCAGAATCTGAAGTTTAATGAGATATTTTTGCCCCCTGCAGATCTTCTCCCAGCACCCATTGAGTTGAAGGTTTACCCCGAATCCAGCAACAAACTGCTACTGATCTGGGAAACAGACAACCTGTACGTCGACAGTGTTGTACTAGAAGCGGTGAGTCATACATGTATCTTTCATGTCTTTTCATGCCTATTGTAACTTTTTTCTGTACTGTACGCAAACTCTTTCAATTCAGAGATTCTCATCCCTGCTGCAAGGTTTGCTTTTGGTGTTGAAATAAATAAATAAATGTCATTTTGGTCACTCAAAAAAAAAAATTTTCATGTGTTCAGGCTTGAACTGTCAACATTCTTGCATGCCAGGTTTCTCACCCGTGAATAGTTTCATCAGGACTGGTACAACACGATTGTAGGACTCAAGAATTATTTATATTATTGATCATTCACAGTAAACTTAAAGTACACATTACTGAATTGCGAATCAATATACATTTCATTTTTAAAATCCAAAAGTTTATACTATTGCACATATTAATGAAGTTAAAATTCATACAGAATCATTAGGAAGACTACATAGACCAGAATAATTGCACATACTACAACCACACCACAACAGTTAAAAATTACGAGCAGAAGAACGGTTAAAAGGTATGAGTAAGCTCATACGATACAAATATTCCTGACAAATAGACTGTCTGCTGTACATAACCAAAGTCACTCTTTTTACACACTATTTTTACACAACCAAGTCATTTATTCAGCCAATGTTTTGGGGACCATCTGTCACCTTCCTCAGGGTCAAATCTGACTGGTTCACATATGCACAGCACTGATGTTGCAGTAATACATCATTATGGGTTCACCACACCACGAAGTGGTGGTGAACCCATATTGCTTTTTCTGATGTTTCTTCTCCTTCTCCTTCTCCTGCCATTTTTTAAATGGATTCAGCTTCTTCATTTTAGGGCCTAAGGTCCTGAAATTTGGTATGGAGGTACAGTGGGCAAATACCCCTAGGCGTTTTTTAAATTTTTGTGATACAGGCTTTTAGAATGGTTTTATTTGAGTTTTTTGGCTGTGTTATAGCAAATGTATTACTGAGTTAGTGTGCAGTGTTACCACATTTGGGCATGAGTCATCACAATGGAATGCAGGGCATCAACCAATAGGCATGCAGCTTTCCTCTATTCTCCTTGCTGATTGGCTGTTGGAATTTAACAGGCTTAACTTAATTAATACCTGCTCAGATCCATTCCATACTGACAGTATGTCTGTATTCAAGTGTTTTGGTAGGTATTTCAAGCTTTCCTGCTCCAGCATTGGAATGCGGGGCATGAACACTTTTTTTTCTTGAAAATCAACAGTTTGCATTATGCAATTAAAAATCCTAACCAATAATGTAGGGAATAGCTATCCAACTGTTGTAGTCTTAGTTGTATGTTACTTCATACTATAGTTATATCAATGTAAAGCATTGTTTTCCCTTGTGTTTCTCATTCTTTCCCTGCCATGTCGTAAAATGTGGTGAAGCCATTGCTGTATTTGCTCCAAAGCAAATGTCGGCCTTTCTAGTTATTTTATTATTATTACATGTACTGATGTTCCCAAATGCAACATATCTACCATCTAGTAGTAGTACACGGTTGCAGGGAACAGTATCTGCACTCCAGTCCCAAACGTACAGGAGTGTAAATTTGTTACTCTTACATTCAATTTGTCATTTGCCACAATTAATGTCTACTTAAATTGAATGCTTTTTTTGTTTACTGTAAATTCATTAGGGCCTGCTAGCTACTTACATTGTATGTATTTTTAGGGATCTGAACCCAGAACAGTTAAACTAAACTAAAAAAAGTCCCTAACCATGAGACTTATATGTATACACGTAATAACTAATATATGTATGCAACTTGATGGTTTTAATTATGATGATAGTTGTTAATATTGTTTATTTTTACATTAAGCTGATAATTTGCTCGTTCAATGATTTTAGCTATAATTAGTACCTTGTCTGACGTGTGACCTCAACGTGTATGTAAATTTGTAGTCATATGTGTATATTTGTACTGTGTGTGTAATGTGGAATGAGCCCTGGAAGATTAGCCCTATTAAATGGGCTAAAGGGTATCGTAATAAACTGAACTGAACTGAGACCACCTTGCCACCTTCCCTGCAGGGTTTTGAGGTGTTGATGAAACCAGAAGGCGCGAACACCACATTCCAGGTGGTCCAGGACTCGGTGACGAAGCACAGGCTCCTCGTAAACGACCTCCTGAGGGGCACTCAGTATCTCTTCAAGGTTCGAGTGGGCAAATATCACGGGCACTACGGAGCCAACTCCACTGTCGAGAGTGGCTACACCTTGGCAACAGGAGGTAAGTCATGTGGTGTAGCAGTAGAGTGTTTGGCTCAGTCACAAGAGGTCCCGGGTTCAAATTCTACCCTATGTCACCAATCTTGTGCCCTTGGGAAAGGCACTTAACACGACTTTCCTCACTTCCCAAAATGAGTACCTAGCTTAACTTAGGGACGTCCCTCGGATAAGACGTTAAATGGAGGTCCCGTGTTTGGGGAGAGCCACACCCTACACACGTTCAAGAACCCACCACACTTATCGAAAAGAGTAGGGACCTTCCCGGTGTGAGTGGTTCAAACCTTACAGTTTGGTCTCTGGTTTGACATTTTGAAGAGGTGATAGTCACCTGTTTATGTCAATGATCCTACCACAAATATGGTAAATCCTCATAAATAAAATACATGTAAGTCGTGTGTCCCTCCCTTCAACGCAAGACCTTGAAGAAGAATCACGTCAAAGATGTTTGGATTTGGTCAGACTGCTCCCTAACTTTAGCCAATCTTGGTGGGCTTGAATTCAGGGGGACGGTTCTGAATGTGTTACAGCAGCTTTATGGTTGTTCCTTCACTAGTTTAAATGGAAATGTTCTGCCCTCTAGGTGACATCGAGCCGCAAAAGGGTGGAGGTAAAGGCAACCTGGCGGCGATCCTGGCGCCCACTTTACTGGTTATCGTGGTCCTGGCCGTGGCGCTTGCCGTGTTCATCATCCGCCATCGCCGCCTGCAGCGCAGCTTCATGTCCTTCGCCACCAGCCACTACGACACCAGCCGCGGCGAGGCCACCTTCACCACCGGGGATGACGGTAGGGCTGTATTTTTTTTGCATAATTCCACGTAAAGATACTTTCGATATTGTTCGTGATTTTGCATCTGTAGCATGAGGGTTTGACAGATTTAATTGATTTTCTGTATATGACACACTGTCATTGTATCTGTACCTCTATAGCCGGTATAACCGCCCCTTGGTGTAACACACCAGCTTCTGTATCAGTATAGCCAGTATAACCGCCCCTTGGTGTAACACACCAGCTTCTGTATCAGTATAGCCAGTATAACCGCCCCTTGGTGTAACACACCAGCTTCTGTATCTGTATAGCCGGTATAACCGCCCCTCGGCGCAACACACCAGCTTCGCAGGCATGCAACGCCGAACACCAAACGACTTGTTACTTGTCTTTGAACAGCTAACTAAACATTGCTTAAAGCTACAGTCTGTATCTACATGACTGTAATGATAATGCCCCTACAATGTACTTGGTGACAGCGAGTTCCACTCTGCGATAGTTCTAGGAAAGAATGAGTCTTTGAACACCTCAATCCTTGGTACTTTAAGGCATGACTATTTCTTGTTACAGTTCTTATTGGCATCCAGATCATGTGGATTGCTTTTCTTTCATTCTATCTGTTTTCAGGTGTTCGAATAAAATGATTGAACTGTAACCCCCGTACAGCTCGTGGTGTGATTGTCTAATGTTATGATATACGGACTGTAACACTTGTGAAAGTGTATGCGATGCTCTGTCTGGGATATACTATTTTTCAAAATGGGGGAGTCTGACCCCAATAAAATCCCCAATCCCTGCCCTACTCATTGTCCTAACCTGTATTTTGCTTACCTATCACCCCCACAGATGATGAAGACTCTCCCATCATCAGAGGCTTCTCCGACGACGAGCCATTGGTGGTGGCATAGTGAGGGAGGGGACTGGCAGGACCTCCTGGTGAGGTCACAGTCACGCAGTGTTTTCTCTACAAGGTGCAATCAATAATCCACAGAGATCCTACATTCTAATCACCCCCCCCCCTACCACACACACACAATCCCGATGTATGTCATCTGATACAGTACAGATCTCAAATAACTGAAGGCCTCGAAGTTAACTTTTCTAATCCTATTGTCTTAGCACTGTCCCCAAAATAAATTTCAGTTGTACCGAAGTGAAGATGACCTGTCCCAACCTGTTTTTCGGGAAGTATGTACAGTATGACTTCAACTTTATTTTGCTCACGTTTTGACTCCCAGGTGCAATGATATTTGTAGAGAAGGAGCCAAAAGAGGAGACGTGTGCCTGATAAACAAAAGAAGGGCTGACATTCTGATGTCAATTATTGTTCTGTTGTCCCAAAGTATGTCTCAAAGTGTCTTTTTACAATGTAGTTGTCCCGACCTAAATTTTAGTGATCATTGGCCATCGGGACACTGTTAATTTTGAGCCCTGAACTGCCCATCAAGACATGACTGTTGTGCAAATGGCAAATTGGAGCTAAGTGCAGTTTTTGCTTTTGCACCAGTGTTAACTGCATGTTACGTGGCTTTGAAGCAGATTTAAATCACGGCTTAAATGCGATTTTGTGGAGAAAAAAGTTGAAAGCGAGGGAAGGTTCATCGAGATCTGTACTGTAGTCTGGTAAAGTTAAGAAGGACAATATTATTTGTACAGCTTTGAAGGACAAGTTTTATTATGACACAAGACAAAACTTATACTGGAAGGGTTTATTTTTTCCTGAATGTAATATTGTAGGCTGTTCAAAATGTACAATTATGTTGAGGGCATGGTTACAATGAAGAAAATTAATGTTTGGACTCTTATACAGCATTTTACAGAGACTGATATTTGGAAAGAAAAATTTGGCATAAAATGGAGCAGATTGAAATTCTTTATGGTGAAGAAAAGTTACTGTAAGGACTTTGAAAGATTTTGCAACAGTACATATTAGTGGGATGGTAGAAAATGTATGACTGTACATTGTACATGTAGAGAAAAAAAACTTTCACACACACACACCAAATCCTAACCGACATTGTAATGCGACTTTTTGCCATACAAATGTTGGTATGGAAGCTTTGATATAACTGTGGATGTTGACAGCCTGTAAGATTTATTGTAGATTATTCCTTGAAATTGTGTCCATCTTTGTGCTGTTTTTTTTTTGCATCAGCTTATCATGATATTTAGTTTAGACTGTTGTAAATGTAATGGGCACTCTGTTATGCTGGTTTTTGGTTTAAACTGCGTTTGCGTGAGGTCAATTGTGAAGTCCCCTAACTCGTAGACAGTTCTTGGCCAATCCATGGTTAGGCAACACCAATTCAATTTGTTGGTTCTCGTATTTTTCAAGAAAAGATAATATGAAGCGACAGGGTAGAAAAAAAAATTTAAAAAGTTGATTCAGAAATATTTTTTTCTGCAAATCAAGAAAAAAAATGAAGAGGCGAATCCGAGAACCAACAAATAAAATTGGTGTGGCTTAATACCGTTACCCTGGAATCCAAACTCGCTGTCCGGGCCGCAAAAGCCCTTCGCCCGCTGGTGTAAATTACCGCTACGGGGAGTCTAGCCCGGGGGAGGTTGGCTGGCCGGACCAACGAGGGCCAGCCAACTCCCCTCGGGCTCAACTCCCCCGGTAGCGGTAATTTAGGCAGGCGGGCGAAGGGCTCTCGGCTGCCGAAGGAAAACGGCTAACGGCCCGATACTAGTTTGGCATCCAGGGTATAATACCGTGTCCAGACGTGTTTTGTTTATGTCTCAGGGGCCTTCAGCATTGACATATTATTCATAACGCATCACAAGTGTGCATTGAATTTCGTACTTTAAACCCTGAACCAGCGCAAGGGTACCGAAGTAATGGGTTCCTCACTGGCCACCCAGTGATGAATTCGTGGGAAAAGTGGCGTCGGCACTCGGGGCTCTGTGCGGAAGGAAACTCCGAACAGGAATTCTAGTGCTGAACGGCTTTTTTTCCAGTGCTGAAGCTCCGCCAGAACTGGAATTCCAGAGCTGAATCTCGACTCAGCACTCGTTTTCCAGTGCTAAATTCCACTCGGCACTCGCAAGGTTTGGTTTGCCGATTCCGAGTTTCCAGTGCTGAAGCCGCCGACACTGGACACCAAGTGTTGACATACCTTCGGCACTGGAGATCTAGGACGGAAGCCACCTCACCTCTGTATACCGAGTGCTGAGAAAGGAACCCGTTACTTCGGTACTTATTCTGGAGGGCTGTATGGGGGTGGATAAACTGTTAAATGGCATCTGATGCTTTCAAATGGAGCTGATTCTGATAGTCAGGGCAGAAGTTACTTGCCGGAGTGAGAACCAACTTTAAGGATTTTGAAAGGGGAATTTGGTTTTAAAAGTGTCTTTTGAAGGCTGGACTTAACTATTAGTAAGCAAGGAACCTAAAGTCTTGATGTTACAGGCCTACATGTAGGTGCATTTACTGATGAAATATAACTGGTTCATTCCTTGTTCTTGATTGTTCGTTTGCCCAAAATACTTTGTGATTATGCTATATATATATATTACACGGATGAATATTGTTACTGGATAAGGATGAATTTTATTTTTTTTGTTTAGTAGAACATGTTTGTGGGACCAGCATTCTTAGTTTGAATGCATATCATAATAACAGGCGTAGAACTAGACAGGCAAGGTTGGCATCAGCCACTTTTGTGAAGCTGTACAACTCGCAGTTTTGAACAGAATGGTGTTGAAAGATAGGAAGATGCAGTAAAGTGGCTGATAGAATGGTAGGTTTGTAGAAAGATCACACCTTCTGCTGACATTCTAGATTTTTTTCTTAATCATTCCATTACTGTCTTGTCTACCCCCTTTCTACTATATGGCAATTGCTGAGTGACTTTTGAGCAACCAGAAGTGGATTTACATGATCCATAATTTTGTAATTCGAATATGATGCACAATGCAAAAATATGATTTCAAAGAAAACAAGACATTTCAAAATCTGTTTCTCTATATGAAATTCAAGAAGTGATTTGTCACAACTTTGGTCCAGTGTTCTAAATTTTTTTTGTCATCTCAAATTTTGATCATGGAATCCAAGGATGGTCCAGGGACAAAGCTTCAGGAATTTTTTTTTTAAATTCTGATCCTCTGTAATGCTGTTTCATACTTTTTGAGGCTGTTTCATACTTTTTGAGACCCCAGTCCGAGCTTAGTTTGATGACCTCTTATTTCCTATCTTTACATACGGATTTTTGTAAAAAAATTTTTGTCGGTCATGGGCAGCAAATTTCTGTCAAATGACGGAAAAACGGACATTGGGTAGAACACTGCTTTGGTCACTTGGTGGTTGCAGCGTCTTAGTGGGAAGGGGGTGGACGTCATTATAAGCAAGGATGTGCTATAATGCTGCTTGTGATCATTCAATCACTTCAACAATTGCTGAAGGATATGTGTGTGGGATATGTAAGTGTACTTGTATATAGAAATCTGTACAGGTCTAATGAGAAGGTGTATAATTGCCAGCACCTATGGTGATTGGGACAATCACAGTTACTGTTGCCTTCTTTGATTTATTGAACTTTGAAATGAGTATTCAATCAAAACAACGCCATGTAACATTACTGTAACATTGTTACTACAATGATTAACTTAATGTCATTCCCAACTAACTTTGCTAACCAGGAGTATTTCATAGATGTTTGAGGGGACGTTGTCAACGTTGTGCCTTGCAGTGGGCATAAGCTGGTTCACAGTCCGCTTGAAAAACAAGACTTTATAAAACAATATAAAATAAAATATGACAGGGCTAGGGAGGCCAAAAGCTTGATATGCTAACAAATTTCTCCCTTGATTAATTCATAACAATTTAAATTAATTAAACAAAAACACCATGTTTAAAACTGTGAGGGCAAATGCAAAGACCCTATCTTGTCAACAGTTATTGCCTAAACCATGCTTGATACCTTAATATTATTAATAATATATGTTTTATGTATGAGTCAGGGGTACTGTTATTTAGAACAAATGCATTACATTGCACAAGAGCAGGTGAAACTGTGAGCCAGCTTATTGAGCAACCATCTCTACCACTGTGACATGCATGTTCGCCAGGATGTTGACTGTACGCAGTCTTACATATACTACGCCTGACAATGTAACACTGGAGATCACTTTCAGGCATTGTTTTTTCACAATAATTCTAGAGCAAGCAGGTGACACATTCCTAATGAAACTGTCATTTTCCTTACTGTTCAGTAACAAGATTATTGTTAGACTCTTACTTACATAGAGAATGTCAAGTGTTACAGCATATTATATATATATAGCAGTACCAGTAGTCAAGAGCTTTTGCACGCACATATGCTGGTTAAGCAATGGATAGATGGACTGTCAAAGAGGACAGAATGCTCTGAAGAAATAATTTTGTTAGGCCAGGTTGATTTGATTATATGGATGACATCCTCCGGGAACCCCAAAACTGATGCGAGCGTGCGAAATTAAAAAAAAGTTTTGACAAAAAAAAAAAGTTGCTTTCATTATCTACGTGGCCATGAAGATTGAACAAATGACACAGGGTATGGTATGGCGAATAATCTACTCTTCAAATTCATTTCTTTACATTTTCGTCATTTTCGTTTGGTTTTGACATTCTACGACGTTGTTATTGTTTTCCAATACTTTTTGTGCAACTTACAGTATATATTTGCTCATTTTGCAACTGTTTTGTACGATTTACAGCATGGTTGAAATTTTTTTTTTTTGAAACGGCCGAAAATTGATGCGCGCGCGGATGTCATCCATATAATCAAATCAACATGGTCTTACAGAGATTTCTAAACCGTAAAGAGGAATTTTGTACCAATCATTTAGTTGAAAATGACATATTTTACCTTATACGTTAAAAATGCCGTATTTTCTAAAAAGTTCATTGAGCACGCTTAGAAATCTGATACAGAGCATATAGAAACATGCCACTCATATATATGAATTGGAGCGGTGAACCTGTACTCTTTGTAAATTGTGCTGTCCACCTGATTTTAAGGCCATGTTAGGTTTAATACTTGGTTCAACATCAAGACCAACACTATGATTGAAAGGTAACTATACCGATATCCTCTAAATGTCTTGGTATTACATCAAATTTCAGTTTTTGTCTGACCACTTTACATGTTTCAGTTGAAGGGAAACAAGTGTTAGAAATAGCGTGGCCTCAGCAAACCGTCAGTGATGTGTTATTCAGAAATTCCCAACCCATTCTTCAGATGTATAATTATTTGAAAATGTACAGCTCAACGTGATTAAAGAGAGAAAATTAAGAGTATGGAATATATGATTTGAGGTGACATGGAGAAATTCTGAATAAAGATGTTAAATTTTATCTTCTTGAAAAAGTATAGTGTGTGGGCTTTTTTGTGTTATGTTGGAATCCATAATGAAAGAAAGGATAAAACTGTTACACACGACTTACGATAAAAGCATTATGACCTTTCCTCGTCGTTAGCTGATGAAAGATGCCGGATAACTGTGTGTGTGTGTATGTGTGTGTGTGTGTGTGTAATATGTGTGTGTGTTGTGAGTGTATGTGCTGTGTGTGTGTGTGTGTCTGTGCGTGCGTGTATGTTTGTCTGTGCCTACGTGTTTGTGTGTGAGTGTGTGCGTATGTGTGTGAATGTGTCTGTGTGAATGTGTTTGTGTGTGTGCGTGCGTGTGTTTGAGTGTGTGCGTATGTGTGTGAATGTGTCTGTGTGAATGTGTTTGTGTGTGTGCGTGCGTGTGTTTGAGTGTGTGTGAATGTGAATGTGTGTGTGTGTGTGTGTGAATGTGAATGTGTTTGTGTGTGTGTGTGTAGAATGTGTTTGTGTGTGTGTGTGTGTGAGTGTGTGTGTGTCTGTGTGTGTTGTGTGTGTGTATGTGTATGTGTGAGAGAGAGAGAGTGTGTGTGTGTGTGTGAGAGAGAGAGAGAGAGTACATGTGTACCTAAGCTGTGTGGACTATATGGACGTAATGGCAGTCCGTCCAGTGAAAGTTCGGTGGAAAATCCTATCACGATCGATTCAGTCGTGTTTGTACTTTGCTATTGCCAACATTCCTGTCTCTTTCAAACGTGTGTCCTGACACGCATCATCTGTAAAGCCCCTGTCACACATTCAGAACCTTTCCCCGACATTGTCCTCGAACACCGGCAAACCACGTTCGGCTGACGTTCGGGAGCAGTTTTAGGCCACGCCTACCTTTATATACGTAGGGCAACGTAGGATGACATCCGCGCGCGCATTGATTTTTTTGCCTGTTCTAAAAAAAAAAAAAAGATAACGTCCTCCGAGGCTCTGGCCTGGCTAGTCCATGGTAGTTAGCGACAATACGGAGCCGGGCACCGACGCTCCACGACTCAAGAACTCAGTACATACGACTCATAAATTCCACAAAAAGCCAGCATGTACCGGCTTGTCGTATACATCACCATGTACTGCCGTAAATTCACAATACCAACTTTGTATTCCTGTGGTTTAGTAGTATTTTTATTTTTGGACGGAATTTTTTTTGTTCGCCCGCGCGCACTAGTTTGGGGATCTTCAGAGGATGTCATCCATAAAATTAAGTCGGTGTGGCCTAATAACGAATAAAAAAAATTGAGTCAAATTTCATCCCTAAACAAACCCGGAAAACTGCTGACTTATTACTCCCAAATGATTGGTTGGTGTTCTGCTGACGTACAGACCAACACCAGCCAACCACGACCGACGACCAATCCCAGAACGTTAAAACGTTTTAAAACATTCAGCTGGCGCAGCCGAACAGTAACACTTTGGCTCCATCTGAACGCTCCAAATCACATTTAAAGCGCCTCGATCCCAAGCCACTTCTAGACGTGGTTTCGAATCGGTTTTCCCGCATCGCGATTTGTGTCTGAACGCAATGTGATTTCAATGTGACTTCACTTCGTGATTAGCCTGGGTTCCATCCTGGTTAGTTTACCCAGGCTACTTCGTGATGGATTACGGGATGATATTTCTTTATTATTTATATGCAATACCAAATTTTACGTGTCAGCAACTTAAAGAGTAGTAATGGTCAAATAATGTGTCCGTTCTAGGACGAGCTTTACCGCCTCTGGCGGGACCACGTCGGCATTCGGCCGAGATACGCTGGGAGGGGGGCACCAGCAAGCAGGTCGTTGACCTCAGACAGTAATGACACCCTACCTAGCGTGTTTTCATCAAACAACAATGAATGTAGTTTCGGAGAATCGTGATCGGGCTCGTTTTAAAAGGAATGTATGGCACGTGGACCAAATGTGAGTTACCCGGTTTGAGTGACTTCACATAAACACGGCCTTTGATCGACTTTGCTCTGATCTACTCCTAACCATGGTCGCAGGCCGTGTTCGGGAGGCCAAATTCGTAATTGTGTGACATCCACAGTGCTATCAACATCACTTAAATGCACTCTAGATCTTCTTTCTCTCAGTCAAAAGTCACAATCATGATTTAATAAAACAAAGCATAATTTAGTTGTCCAGAGTGGTATATAGTGAAAGATTATAGATAAACTACAGGTTCGAAGACTAAAAGGTATGGGGGAGTGGTGTTTTATACCTGGATTAAGCACATGTTCAGAACATTTTTCAGGCATGTAAAAATGTTCTACAGTGCAACCAATGCAGACACCGATGACTTTTGCAACATTGAAAGTACCGTTACCGAAAACACATGTGACGTTTACCTATCTTCAAAGTGTGCCTCTCACTCACCTTGGTAACTATATGTGTTATTCTTCTCTTAAATACCGTGGCAGGCGTCATAATCCGGTGGAAGAGATTAAGAGTCATCAAAGTGAACAAGAATGTTTCCATAATCTCCCAGTCCAGTCCAAGATCCGGAAAGCCGATTGTGCTCACTCTCCCTCGATCGATGAAATCTTTCATCTTGTTTGTGCAACAAAGACGAAAAACGTGACACGTAAGAGCCAAAAGAGCGGCTATGACGGAGTTTAATCTTTTCTTGGGTAGATACGATGGTGGTGATGAGATAATTTTAGCCCGGACGTCCTCTTTGAGAACAAACACTGTCTCGGACAGTCGGTCTGCTTGACTCAAGACAACTGCACATCATGTCGCCAGAGTATCGAGACTTTTAGGACGTTCTGGTGTCGTTGTTGCCTTATTGAGATTTTTCCCGTCGACATGAAGCTGTTTTCGTGTGGTGTTCGTCAAGGTGTGGCTATGATGTTAGCAGCTGTTGTTTTGTGTGTACCAGGTAGGTTGTGTTTTTTTTCTACTCCAACTAAGTATCAACTTTCAGGTGTGAGGGCTTGGTCACATTCGCCGTACGTTCGTATTATGATCTTGGTATTGTCGTGCGTGTGCCGGCTGCAATCTTCAGCTGTTGTGTTATGAAAGTTAAAAGCTGTCTTGGATAAACGCCAGTTGCTTTTATCGTAGCCTGTTTTACATAAAATTGTACAATGCGGCTTAAGAAGAGTGTAATTATTGTGCCGTAAGACCACACCAATTTAATTTCTTGGTTAACGGATTCGCCGCTTCATTATTGTCTGATTTGCAAATAAAAATAAAAATTCAGAATCAACTGCAAAATGCTCATATTTTGCCCTGAATAGTTGAAAACAGTCCTTTTCTTACTACTTGTTACAGTCATTCCATCTTTCAATGCAGTAGTATCATTAAAAGTTCAAAATGATTGTTTAAATTTTGAACCAGCCTGGTGTGCGGACTGCATGGCTCCTATCATACCATTTGGGGCCATAATAGGAAGCCTAGGCCTGTTTTTATTTTTTTTTAATTTTTTTTTCCGCCCGCCCGCCCCATTATTCTTCTAGAAAAATCCGTTAACCAAGAAATTAAATTGGTGTGGCCTAAGCATGGTAACTTATTTCAGCTATATCTACTTTATGTTTATCTTTTATTCGCAATGTTGGAGTAAGTGTGTAGAAATTAGTGACAAATATCAGGGAAACGAACACAGTTGGGCTTAGAATTTGGGTTATTGGCAGATTTGTACATATGACGTAATACACTTAATAAACACCATTGTTCTCAAATGATACAAAGGTAAAAAATAGTGGAATCACGTACGTAATTTCGGCATGTTTGAAAACTAAATTATTACGTAAACTCCAGAAGCAAGAAGAGGTCGATGTACAAGAAATATCATAGAATCATAATCATCATCAAATATCATAGAACCATCTCAAATAGTAAAAATCACCTTACCAAAGAACACCCTTGACTTATATATGTAGTATGTATTGAGGCACTTTGCGTTCCCTATCCTTAAATCTAACGTTGATTTTGTCGGTTCAAAGTGTGTAATCCTTGAGCGTATCTACATAAAAAGAGCTGATTTGCTTGTGACCTATAGCTGGTCGTCAGGTGGGGGAATTTCCAATGCCTTTATAACGTTAACGGTTGAAGGTTAGAACCACAAGGTCAACGAAACTACAAAAAAAAAGCAACACGCTACATGTAACACTGTCGTCCAATGGAATATAACGTCACATAATCTAATTATCTCCCGGATGTTGTGAAAGCCTCTTAGAAAATTAGCTGATCAAATATGCCCTCCCCGGACTTGTTGTAAGGCGGGTTGAAAAGACTTAGGGTGCTTTTGTGCGGTCTGATACACTTGAGTTGAAATTCCACTCACTGCTACTTAGTTTGTTTCCGTTACCAATGATTACTAACACTGCTCGTATGGTCAACAGCGTTACGTCATCGCTACACAAACACCACCTGTACCGGCCTGAACAGGCCCAAATAGGGCTAAACAGCATTGAATTAATAGGCCGTGATTATGTGAAGTCACCCAAACCGCGACTCGGGTAACTCACATTCCTCACATCTGGTCCACGCGCCATACATTCCTTTTAAAACGTGCCCGATCACGATTCTCCGAAACTAAATTCATTGTTGTTTGATGAAAACACGCTAGGTAGCGTGTCATTATTGTCAGAGGTCAACGACCTGCTTGCTGGTGCCCCCCTCCCAGCGTATCTCGGCCGAAACTTGTATTTCTAATGAACTTAGACAAACCTTCGATCATGAAACATATCTGTTCTTACCTTTTTACCATCACTAGGAAACGAGAAGAAAGAGAATTTACTCAGTTGTATATATCTAACGTTATCTGCATTCCATTCTTCTTTTGTGACCTGTACTTAACCCATTGACTATGTGTGTACATGTACAATAAAGGTCTTCATTTATTCATTCAAGTTGTTCACGCCGCGATGATTCTAACGCCCAGCGTCACTGAGATCACGCGAGATCTCGGCGAGAACATCCTCATCATCTGTGAGACAGAGACAGCGGACAGTCCGCACTGGTTCGGACCGGACGGAGCTCGGGTAAGCATTAAGGCCACTTAGAGAGATTGTCATTTTTTGCGACGCCTCAGGTGCGGAGCCGTTGGTATAGTACTGCGATTGATTTGAAAATATTCTAAGAATTCCACGAATGCATTCCCCAGGGGATTAAATTTTGTCAACAAGGTAACTCAAGAACGGCTGAATGGATTGGTTTCATACTTGGTGTGTTGGTAGGGTGTGACTAAATCTAGAAATGATAAGATTTTGGGTCTCCTAGTGGCTTCCCTTGGAATGATCATCACTCACATCAAAAGAGAATCACGTCGCCGAGGCGTGTTTTAAACGCCACTTTATTTTTATTTATTTCATGCATGGAGGTAGAAAAAAGAGCTACCTCCATGCTTCATGATCCACCACAAAACAAGGCTCGTTAGAGTCACTCAAAATGCTCTAGGTTACTGTATAGCCAGTGAGGACAGATGTTTGTTGACCTTAGACTTGAAAAGTTAAAGTTTATACCCATATCGGAAACAATCACGTAGTAGCTTTTTCCATAGTGATGTCTTGGTCGAACAACTAATTGCCCTTCTCTCATTGGTCGAACCACTTATTGCCCTTCTCTCATTGGTTGAACTTTTGATTGAGATTGACATTCGGGATCGGTCTGTATTGTCCACAGATTCCGTCGGACGCGGAGGTCGGGCTGTCGGCGCGCGTGTTTGCGGCGGAACAGCCGACGTTCTCCCGACTGTTTGTGAACCGAGCGGAGGAGGGAGACGAAGGTGTGTACGCCTGCCGGACAGACACAGAGGAGGTCACGCTGCAGCTCATCTTACAACGTATGGAGATAAGTCACACTCCCCTTTCTCAACCTACCCTACAGTCATGCCTTCAAATATCAGAGTTACCAGGTATTCAAAAACTCGTATTTCCCCAGAACTATCGTAGACTGGAACTCGTTGCCACCAAGCACAGTAGGAGCATCATCACTATAGAAAGCTTTAAACAACTCCTGCAATTAAATGTGCAAAGATTGAGTGTAACAAGTCGTTCGGTGTGATATAGCTAGCTGCCGCCGCGCCGCGTACCTGCGAAGCCGAAGGGCGGTTATACCGGCTATACTGAAACAGATACTCGAAATTACCTAAGGCCACGTTGATTTGATTACATGGATGACATCATCTGGGTACCCCAAAACTGATGCAAGCGTGCGAAAAAAAATGTTTGGCAAAAAAGTGGCCTTCATTATGAAATCTAGGTGGTCATAAAGGTTGAACAAATGGCTAAACACACGGAGTACTATTTTACTGGCATGGTGAATAATACACTCCTCATTTTCATTCCTTCACATTTTCTCCTTGTTCTTTGGAATGGATTTTGGCATTCTGCGACATAAGCTATCGTTTTCCAATATTTTGTTTTTAATTTACGGCATATATTTGCTCATTTTGCGATTCGTACGATTTACAGTACAGTTGAAAACTTTTTTTTGGAAACGGACGAAAATCAAAGCGCGCGCGGATGTCATCATATAACTAAATCAACATGGCCTAAGGCACAAAAAACAAACAAACTTCTGTCTACCGACCTCTTTCTTAGTGGTTGTCCATTGTATTACTGTAAACAAAAAAAATTCTGTATTTATGAAAATACACTTTTATTCTATATCAATGACGTTTAACACTTTATAGACGCCTACCCATGCCTGTTTATATATCAAATACATCCAGAAAACATATAAGAAGAAACATTGATAGAACCACTTGAATCACTCAGTGAAGTTTGTTTACCCGCAAAAAGGGACGGGCTAACAAGCTTACCTGTGGCTCAGCCGACTGTGGTCATACGCAGGACTGTTAGCAGCTGAACAAACGTTTTGAGACGGCTTACGACACGGTTTTGAACTATCAAGAGGGCTTATAACGTGGTCGATGTAAACATCTTGTGTTGTAGTAACGTGCACGGTCTCATTCAGTGGGTAGAACGATTTTAAAGTATTTTAAGGATTTTGAAGGTACTTTTTGTCATTTTATATCGACTCCCACTCTTTCTGGACCTTATTTACACCCGACGTTGTAAGCAATTACAGTATAAAGCAACGGAATTTGCGGTAACGGTGGTTTTCGCACAACAATTTCACGAATATCACGTGAACGAAGCGTGAACAGTACATTATCCTAAGTGACCTCGGGTGAAACTCCGGAGGAAGGTTAAGGATTGGGGCCCGAAAAGTCCGGAGTGTCGCCCGAAGGGTCATCAAGCGGTCTCTGAACAGAGACAAAGAGGGCGGGCGGGTGGGTATTAGAAACTTTCAACCTTCCGTCATCTTTCCTACGACACTCATCCCCCCCACCCCCCGTCCGCCTCCTTAATATCTCTCGCTCTCTATCCCGCACATTCCCGTCGCCCCCGGCGTAGGTCGAAAGGGGAGGAAAACACGCTCTCCCGGCCTTATAAAGGATTCCCTGGACACGTGATAATGTCCAGGTGTTTAATTAATGCACGCGGACTGCTCCCGACCAGGTGTCGCCTCTTAACGACGCGAAACCCGGTCAGGAGCGTCCTCGTGCCTCAATTAGAATAGTACATTATCCTAAGTGACCTCGGGTGAAACTCCGGAGGAAGGTTAAGGATTGGGGCCCGAAAAGTCCTACGTGGTCTCACCTTCGTGTACATCTTCTCGATCTTATCACGCCGACCAACTCCCAAGCACACCCCACTCCTCTTTCCTTTCACCCATACCTTATCTTGCTAACCCCAAACCTTATCTTTCAGATCCCCGATCCTCAAACTACCGACTCTTTGGCATCGCAGCCGCCTATTCACTCCACTCCAGCTACGACATGCCTCCCTGTAGTTCAACCCCCTCTATTGTCCTCAACTGTCGCACAGCATAGCTATGATAGCTTCCCCTTCAAGCTTCATGGCCCAAATGTCAACTAGAGGCGAGTCACATTTTATGATAGGCATGACCATGTTAATTTTTATGGAAACCACATGTGTATGTATGTTGCACTTGAAAACTTCTGATAAGATAAAGAGAATTGTTTATACACCTCCCATACTTGTGAACATATTTGTGTATTGTTTTTAAAACCAAGCCAAGCTGTGTCTGGCAGGTAAGCCACCGCCGGGTAAAGGTGTGAACAGCCAGGCCATTGTTCTGCCCAGGTAGTCTGCTCTCCTACCGTGAGGTGCTATGTCAACAAATTGATTAGCCATATTGTTCCCAAATAACAACAAAGAGGTCATATTTCACATCTAGGGATGCCAAAAGTCTAAATTTTGTAGTCCATTTTTTTATCAAGTGGTGCTTGCTCAGATTATATTATTCTAACTTACAACAAAGATGGTTGGAAAGAAGACAAGTTGTACAACAATCTCTCGTTGAGACCATTATCTTGGAGGATTCCAGTGCTCAGCTATGCCTTCATGAATATTTCCAATGGCATATTTTTGTCAATTTTTTTATATAATATGAAAAATCTTTGTTCTAGTTATAGGTCTAGACA